TAGCGGTGCATCACCCCGTGTCTGACAACGGCGCTGGAAGATGTGGGGACGCAGCTACTTCTGAAGAGCTCATTAAATAGGACACGTAATCCACGCATTTTATATGCCCTGTAAAAATAGCATTCGTCACGTGTCAGTCAGTGACATTTTTAACTTTCAGGGCTGGTATTTAAGTACTTTAAGCAGACAACTAAATATGACACGTTGACTTTTGTGCGGTCATTCACTGCTGACTGGGCTAAGACCATCAACTATCCGCACTTGAGAACCCGCACTCCAAATCAAACCGCAAGTCTATGGCTCCCTACGAGTCCGTTGCGTCTCTGCGAAAGTCTTCTGTGTAAATATAAGTGTATGAAAAATAAGAATAGGTAAATAAAACAGGAGGCATGAAGATGTTCAACCACCAAATAGAAACCTTTCGCAAGGCATCAAGTCTGCATTAATCACACGTACCTGTGGAAAAACATGCCAACAAAGTGCTCCGATTATAGAAGCCTACACCAGAGACAGCCTTGTCTCACCCGCCAGAGACCCCTAAAGGGTCTCCCCACTCGCAGTCCATTCAACCAATGGCTTGCAACAAATCAACTCGCTCCACAGTTTAATCGTGGGCGGCTGAGACCTGGATTTGAACTCTCAACTCTAACTCGGTCGTGTCATCTCGCACACTCTGACCCCACCCCTCCCGCACCTTGAGTCAAAAGTCCTTTTTGGGTTTGGGGCACAGGACTAAGGTTCTGCCGAAATCGCCAATGGGAGAAAAGAAAAAGAGAAAAAACTTGTTTTTTTTAAATCGCTTCCACAGCCACGTTTACAAAAGAGCAAAAACGTTTTAAAAAGCTGGGCCACACCACATGCGCACATGCATGAGCGGACCCCACATGCTCGCGCACGCATGTGAGCCCGTGACCCTGCTGTCCTCTCAGTCGACCGCTCATCCAGATTTCCCGGAAAGGCCCGGAGATAACGCAGCCAGCAGCTGGGACCAAGTGAACGGAGAGACGAGGCCCCCAATTTTCATAACAAAGGCAAAAGTTCCCCTCCACCCCACCCAAATATAGCCTTCAACAGACTATTGGAGAAAGTGCTGTTAGCGAGCACCTATTAAGGCAAAATCTGAGCTCGAGGGGGCTCATGTGGCCACTGCCACGTCTGGCCTCCTTTGTCTCCCCGGTGGTGATGTTTACACACTGCACCAGGTACTCGTTTAAGGCTGAGTGGAGCTAGGGAAAGCCCAAGACCGGTTCAAACATTCATCGACGATGTTGTCCGTCAGCGGGAATCAAACTCAGGCAGATGGGTCATTGGCACAGTGCGCCAACACACCGCACACTGCCGCTCCCCCCAAGACAGAGAGAGAGAGACACACGCACCAAACGCACACCAAAACAGGTACACAAACATACCAACACAGAGATAATGCCACCATTGACTTTTGCAATACTTTGCCGTGTAATCACAGATGTCTTGTAACGCGACCCCCCCCCCCCACCACTGCCGCCGCCACATAGATATAACAGGAATAAAAATTGTTCAAACTGTCGCGACCTTTCCGGGTAGAGCGTTATCAGAGCCGGTGTGTGCACGCCGCTCTTTGATGCCCCACAACAAATATTCCATCAGGGCAAACGAACCCGGGACGGGGGGCGGCGGGCATCGGATCAAAGCGAGATGTGTAAAACTGACGGCGGCGTTTCCACCATTCTTGCCGACTGCTCGCTCATCAAATCGGGAATTGAACCCAGGCTGCGTCTTGCTGCGAGGCATTGCGCATGGCCCCGCCGCCACTCAACAACGGGAACACGCAACTCTCTCCCCACACCCAGACCATTTCCTGAGCAGCGGCACTTCCAACATCCAGAGTCTGCAGCAGAGAGAGGGCTGCAAGCATTCAGCTGACGGCTACGGACGGAAAGGACCCGGCCCCCCCCCTTATGAAACACGTCTGAGGGCCTTTCAAAAGGTGACGCACTGCCCAACGGTGGAAGGATATTGGGCAAGACAGTCCGGGAATTGCGCCGGGTTTAAATTTCAGCGTGCAGCTCTACAGGGGGACCATTGCTCTCCCCCTCCCTCAGTCTCTCTCCCTCCGCCTCCCGGCCGCCCCAATTTTATAAGGAAACCTACCGTCGACCGAATCGGGAGCGACCACCCTTCTACCACAGATAGCCGGGGCCCCCTCTGTCCTGAGTTGAACCGTGCAACCGCCTCACCCCGCAAATATGCCGGCCCCCATTAACGTACGAAGGGGCCCACAATTACTGAGCCGTCCGGGATTTTGACGAATTTTTTTGGGGGGTTTTGTTCAGATAATGGCAAGCGATGTTAATCAAACTCAACACAGTAACCCGCTCAGGGGGTGCAAATCCGCACGCAGGCCCGCGTCGACCGCGCAAGACAAGAACGCGTTGAGTGCAACGGCGCGCGGGCTGGAAATGTGCTGGCAGCGTGCGTCTTAGCCAAAAAAAACACGGCGTGCTGGCCACTCGTGATGCGCCAGTGCAGGAAGCCTGGTGAGATTTACACAGAGACAAAGATCCCCCGTATAGCCTGTAACGGACTGTCGGCACAATTGCTGAAGCCGGCACGGCGGACACGGGGGGCGGGGGGGGGGTGCAGTGAGTAACCAGCACCACACGCTCAGTCTAATATCTCAACCGGCGCCGATGTCTTTACACTCGGCAACCGGGTACTCACCGAAGGCCGACGTGACCCTGGGCAGGAGGGCCCGAGTGGCAGTTCGGGCATTGCCTCTCACTGCCCACGAGAACCGTGGCCGGGTTGGGGAGGGGGGGAATCGAACCCAACTCACCGGCCGGACCCCACTTGGGTCGGCGTGCGTAATGGGGCGCCCGTCGCTCCACACATTGAGATAATTACCGCGGGCGTACACGGGGCGAGAGAGAGAGAGAGAGACAGCCTCTCTGCTTCGTGAACCTCCGGGGGCAGGAGAGGGGGCGCGCGCACAGGAAGCCGTGCAGAACCAACCATTAATCTCGGCGTGCCCGTGCATAGAAACGCACGGCCGGGAAACCCACACACGCACGCACGTCAACACACAGAGCCAGGGGAACCCTCGGCCAAATAACAGGGGCTTCTACTTCTGCGTGTGTTCGGGTCCAAGCGAGATTTAGCACCTCCGACTAGCAGGGTTGGCTACGTACGGTGCGAAAGAAGTTGAATATACATGCATGCACATTCACGCTGAAAGCACTTTGCCCCGACAGTTTGTGCAAGCTATATAAGTGGGACCTTTGTCCGTCTTTGTACACGCCAGCGTGTGTGTATAGGTGTGTGCATGTGATACTTTAACATTGTGGATTTGCGTAATATTACAGGTGTGTGTGTGCGCGTGATGGTTGCGCGTTATTGGTAGGTGCGTGCTGTTTGCGTAACGGGTTCTCTCCACAACCCCCGAGATTCCATCACTTGTCGCGCTTCGATTAGAAGGCTTCGCGAATCGATGCCATTCAATGCCGCGGGGCGAAGGAGAGCACCGCCAGCAACACGAACCCAACGCCGCGCCGACAACTTGCGTATGCGTACGGCCATGGCGACCGGGCGCCCAAGGAGCACATCCGTCGGGGGGCGGGGGAGAGACGGAAACGTTGAAATCCGCTCAGGTGCAGGAGAGGAGATGAACCGCGGCATAGCAGGGACCGCGAGAGATGGTGGACGGCTTGGTCGGCTGCTGATGGGGCAAGTGCTGTGAGGCATGCGTGACCAGCTGGAAGGCCATCGACTCGGCAGTTTGGAACCCTGTCCGGTGGGAAGGAGTTACACCCCAACCCCGATCAATTTGCCCCTCTCTCCGTAGCCCCGTGCTCCTCTGGCCCCATGGCCCTGGTGGAGTTGCACCGCCTGGCACACTCGATCACCACGCCGCGACGACGACGGTGATAATGATCTGGCCGCGTGGCTCGGCGGTAGAGCAAGCCGCTCTCAACCGGGGGTTTGAGAGCCATCATCTGTCTGGCGTCCATGGAACGAATACCACTTTGTTATGAAGTCAACAGCGATTTGCTGCCTCGCCCGCCCCCACCACCCCACCAGGAAATCACTTGGACTCTGACTTTAGATGATGATGATGACGATGATGATTTAGACAGAAGGCAAGAGGGGAGGATGTGGAGGAGGAGGAGGAGGGAGTGGGGGGGGGGCAAATGAAATGTGGCGAATAAATCAGAATGTTTGCAAGCGAGAGAGCGGTTTCCAAACTCATGCGAGCGTGAGAGAGGCCGACGACGCGGCCCGACTTGGCACCCCCCCCCCCTCTCCAAGCGTGTGTGGGGGGGGGGCCCTCGCACAATGCGACGCTATGTGTACATGCGCGCACCCGCCCGCCCGCTCGCTCGCCCCACGTGGCTAGACAGGAGGTATGTCGTTTTGCAACTTTTTTTGTGTCGATTATTTTACCCTGGCCCCTGCAAGCGCTTCCAATCAGCGAGTTGTTTTTTTGCAAGTGAGCATTTTTGTTTGGGTACGCACACGTGTGCGCGTCTTTGTTTTGGCGTGGGGAGCAGTAGTGTCGCGGTGAGTGCATTGAAACCAGCGACCCGGGTTGGATTCCCGATCGTGGATAAGACCGGTGACGATTACCTGAACCGATCCTGTGCCTCGACCACAAGGCCGACTAGGCCTCAAATGAGTGCCTGGTGCGACGTGTAAACATCGCCATACCGCACGCGTGTTAACAAACAACAACAAATACCGTCTGCTTCACGGTGGACGTTAAAGATCCCGTGAGGTCATTCAAAAAAGACTAGGCCAAGCATGCCGGCGCCACGGTCCACATTTGCCGCATTCCCAAAAATATTTGCTAATTACTTCACGAGGTAAAACCACATAGCAAACATCGCCCCCTATTTGGCAGCCCGCCTCCACCTGCGCAGAACGATGCCGTCGTTGACAGCCTTGCGCTGGAAGAATGGCGCTCGTGCCAAAATGTATTCACCACCAAACAGTTTTCATCGTCATCATCGTCATCGCGATCATACCGCAGTGTGCGTCCTGGCCGTCCGTGTGCCGTGGGCTGCCGCGCGACCGCCTGTCCGTCCTGCGCCCTCCCGCGATGCCTCCGTTGCAGGGCAGCACGCGCTGCGAGCACCCGTTTATCACCGTGCCGTGCGCCGGCGACGCCGACAGCGGCTGCTGCGCCGCCTTGTGCTGCTGGTGCTGCTGCTGGTGCTGCTGCTGCTGCTGGTGGTGGTGGGGCGGCGGCGGCGGCATGCCGTGATGCGACAGCGGGTGGTGGCTCTGCTGCAGCTGGTGGAGCAGCGGCGGCGGCGGCTGCTGGTGGTGGTGATGGTGGTGGTGGTGGTGCGGCTGGTGCTGGTGCGGCTGGTGCGACGGCGGCTGGCCGTGGTGGTGGCCGTGGTGGCCGCCCTGGCGCGGCGAGCCCGGCGGCCCAGCGTGCGCGGGCTTGTGCGGCGGTGACGACGACGAGGAGGACGACAGCGACGACGAGGGCGACGAAGACAGGGCCAGCGAGGACAGGGAGGAGGACGATGACCCCGGCGGCGACCCCGACGGCGTGCAGGAGCTGGAGGAGCTGCTGCCCGATGGTTTGCCGCCGTTCTGCGGAGAGTTTGGCGGGCTGCTCCCCGTCGCTTTGCCCTCCTTGCTCATCCTCTCTCCTCCGCCGAGCCGCTCCGGTTTGCCCAGCTTCTTGCCGTGCGGCTTGCCGCTGATGAGACGGTCCTGGTAGTAGTTGGGCCTCAGCGGGGGCGGTATCGCTTCTGGTGCGAAGAGTAGAAGCGGTTTAATTGGATTGCGAATAAAGGAGGTGGTTTTATGGGCGTTATGCTGAGCAAGGTATAGCGGCGCTGTAGGAACAATAATCATTTAAATAGTTTACGCTGGTCATTCGTCAATCCACTGCTGGATGAAGGCTTCCTCATGCCGTTACCATGGTCACTGCTAACATCACCCCCCCCCCCATCGTCATCATCACATTTGTACAACAACCAACCTCACTGCCACCACCAACAGGGCCTCACCACAACCATCACCAATCATCATCATCGGCAACAATACCAACAAATAACAACAACAGCAGCAATCTCCACCACCTCTACCATTCCCTCGCCTGGTACGCAGGCAGTGCGCTCTGACAATGCCTGGTGTTGTAAAATTAGCAGTCTGCGTTGTCTCTATCTCAGAGGTGCTCACGCGGATTGTTCTCCGGGTTCCTCAAGTTTTGTCCCCCCCCCCCACCCACCTCCACATTTTATAAACGCGCATCTCATACGTATTTGAGCTGCCACTATGAATTCCCACGTGTGGTGGCGACTTCGATGAGCTCGCTCACATGATGTGCGACCAAGTTGCCTCCCGAACAAAAAAAAGCCGATAAGCTCAGCGGGGGTCGTCGGGGGCGGAATTTACCTGCCGAAAAAAAAAAAGAAACACCTGCACAGTTGACACCCCACCATCGCGCTCACCTTGCTCGGTGTACATGGCGTGCGGCGGCGGGGGCGGCGGCGGCGGCGGCGGGTGGTGGGCCATGAACGGGGGCGGCATCTCTCCGGCGGGCCCCGGCGGCGGGTACATGGCGTGCGGCGGCGGCGCAGTGAGCAGCGGCGGGTGGTGCTGCATGTACGGAGGCAGCGGCGGCGGCGGCGGGTGCATGGACGGGTGCGGGTGGAACTCGGGAGGGTGCGGGGTGACCACCACCTTCCACACGCCGTTCTCCTCGATGATCTGCGAGGCCGACGGACGAGGCGGGAAGCGACGACTGGTTTGACGACGGACGGTGGGCGACCGCGGACGAGCGGTTTTACCGAGCGGTTTGGCCGCTCAGGAGACGGACCAAAGGGAGAAAGCATGGAGAGGCGCGACGCTTGGGGGGGGAAGGGACCAGCAACCGAGAGGCAGAAAGCACGAGACGCGGCGTCACGTTGACTGCCGGGGAAGACGTTAGGCGCACGTGGGACAGATGGGTAAAGGGGACCAGGGGGGCGGGAGGGCCACCGATGGTGAAGACAGCGAAGGCGAGCCCACGAATGGCGTGGCCGTCGCTCGGCGCCTCTTTGTCGTTTTTAATTATCAAGCGGCGCTTTCTCCAGCGGTGGGACGGTTCTAGCCGGCGGCGCGCGGCACACAAGCGTGTAAATAATAATAATGACATGGTACTAGCCCGGACGGTTCTAGCCCGGATGTTGTCATGCAGACGCGGTTTTGACTCGGGCTTGTCATTACCGCTTGTCACCGTTCCGCCCCAGCTGTGTTCGAGACACAACACCGCCGGAGTTGATCGTGCAAGACACAAAGGGCTCCGGTGTCTCTGGCATTGGGATACCGAGGTCTCGGTCTCTCCCTCTCTCTCTCCCTTTCTCACTCTCTCTCTGTGTGTGCCTGCCCCCCCCCACCCGCCCCCTAACACTGCTGTGGCATTATCTGGGAGAGAATCGACACTGGAGGAGCTCCAAGCCAGACATAGTCGGAGTCACCTGCAGCTACTAATAAGAGGAATATCTGTGGGGAGAACACAAGGAGGCGTACGGATAGCCGGAGCTGATCCAGAAATATCTGGGGATACATGGAATCAACGCGGAGACACGCAGAGACAAAACAGAGACAGCTACAAATACCTGGAGGCTACACGGAGACACCTGGGGACACGTGGAAGCAACAGAGAGATACTTGGAAACAAAATAGACACCGAGAGATACCTGGGGGCTACACAGAGACACCTGGAGACACCGGGGGCCAACGTTGAGACACCTCGAGCCAACACTTGCTTACTAACACAGAGGCACAAGGGAGATATCTACAAGCTCACACTGACCGGGAGAGCCGGGCATCCCGGAGGGACCACCGAGCCACACCTTGTGCCAGCGCGAGCGAGCGACCCTGGCAGGCCGCGGACGTCGGTGGCTCAGGCCGCGTGCGGCAACATCATCGGCTAAAACCAAGGGGGAGCAGGAAGTCGCCACCGCCGGCCGCAAGCGCATCGAAGATTCGGTTGAAAACAGCGGAGTGGCTCGCTCGCACGTCAACTACGGCGCACGCAGCACGAAATATAACACTGGTCAAGAAAAATAAAAAATTCTGGCCTGGACTTTTGCAGCTGTTCTAGACTAATTTCAGGGTGCTGATTCCAAATCTGATCTCAGATTTGCTCTATCACATCATTTTTATGCTATCCGCATACCCCATTTTCATTGCTTTTACCCGAAATTAACTCTGTCACTTATGATTGCAAGTTGTTGCGAGTCAGTGACTGCTTGGTGTTAAAATATGGTGCTGTATTTTTAGGATAGTGTGTTTATAATATAATTTTATGTAGATATCCACATTTATTTAATATTTTTCTTCTGCAGTTTTTATTGAAAATGCAATATTTGATATCTCAAAAACCTGATGTGATAGACGGGGCGAGGTGAGCCTCTTTCCCATCTCTGGGGGGGAAGGGGCGGTTGGGGGAGGGGGGCCCCGTTAACTCTCTGAACGATGATCCAAAATGAAAACAACTTTCGAGTAAAGTTGTGTTGCTGTCACGCACTCGAACCTCGAGAAAACCGGTCGCGTTGACTAATGGGTCGGCCAAAAAAAAGAAATCGGCGATCGTAGCCGGCAAATTAAACGGCAAGCGTTGGCGGCCAAGGCGATGACGTCATTACGCGTGACGTCATCTCGTCACACGCCACGGAAGGGCGGTAGCTCCACTATCGCTAATGAACCTTTTCCCATTCGGAGACATCTGTGAGATGCAGGATGTGGGGGTCCTGTTCATCGCCGAATCTTGGAAAGCAAAAGCGGTTCCACGTTAATTTTATTTAGAGAAGCAGAGCGCCGTTGTTTTTAAAGACACTGTACTCACTACAGGGAACCATAGCGACACGACCGCTGCCACATGCCCTCCCGCATGGCCTTGTGGGAGCCTCGGTACCGATAAAGTTATTTTAGTTCAGTTTTTCTTCCCGTTCCGTTCCAATGACGTACGTGATCGGAAAGGGAAATGTGTTTTTAAAAAAACTCCCGAGGATAAAGCGGCAGGGGGTTTGTAAAGCTTCTGCCCCCGTTTGCTCGTCTTTTGCCGGTGGGCGTTGCCGCAACAACGAGAACGGAGAGACGTAGCTCCATCCCAACGCACCACCGCCCCCCCCGGCCCCTCGCGCAGGTGGCCGGCGTCGCGGCGGAACCTCGACGGGACGTTCCGTTTACAGGCAGCTCTCGTCAGAGGGGAGGGAGGGTCTGCTCGAGTAATGTTGGTCGTAATTTTTTGTTTCGTTTGTGTTTTGTTAAGGCTCTTGGGTTAACTGCGGTGTGGAAGAGAACATTTTACATTAACCAGGGGCTTAGCCTCTGCTGACCCTACACGCTGTTCTGTCCCTGCCCACCCCCGACGTAGCATTGAGAGGGGGCAGCAGAACGGACCGACTCGTCGATGCGAGGCCTTTTCAGAAATCCACTGCGATGTCCGTTTAGGATAAAAATCACAAAATGTTTTTACGGCCCTTTGTCAAGCCGTTGCTGGATGGACACCCTTCCCCAAGGCATGTTGGGGAGGGGGACGGGGGGTTGCTTGGCTATAGTTCACCAGTTGGGGAAAAGAGCCAAGAGGAGGTGGGGGGGGTGCAAGATTGGTTCAGATATCGCTCACCACTCAGCCCAGTCGCGTTCGCCTGGGAGTTGAATTTGTGTCGCCAAAGGGTTCTCGGCACTGCGTCTCCAGCTTCGGTGCGAAACAACGATCTTGACGTTTGCGCTTGGGTCGAATTTTAATTTTAATCATGTGAGAGCTCTCCTGCAGCGCCACTCGGGTGCCTTTCTGCGGCATCTACCTTACACATTATCATGCCATAAGACTTCCAAAATGCCAGTTAAATACTTTTAAAGAGTTTTACTTAATAAAATCGTCGCCGTGGTGGTATTTTTGTTCTTTATTTAAATGAATTTATGCTCGCAAGAGTCGGCGTAGAATTGCGTTTTACTCAATCTATTTCTTAAACGAATCCAGGCAATGCATTTGGCTTGCGTCTCATCGACGCCGCCAAGTGCCAAGATCCACGCAGACTCACGGGCTCCCGACCGCCAAGCGAGGCAAAGGGCGCTCGGGAAGAGGGAAGCGGGCCCCCCACCCACCCGCCCGCGCGCTCACGCACGAGTAGGGAGGGAAGAGGCCGATCGCCTGCGTACGTACACACGTTGGCGTACGCGCATGCTGGGCGCGGCGGTTCGCACGCCGCGCCACGAATCCAGAGGATTAGCCACAGCGGTCCTGGGCCACCACTTAGGTTGACTCGGCCTCAAATGAGTACTTGGTGCGGTGTGTAAACATCGCCACGGTGCTGTCCGCGCACTGCCCCAACAAATCTGTAACAGGCCATACTTGGGATCTTCGTCTTTGAGTGGGAATGGAACTCGGGTGGCCAGGTTCATTAGTGCAGTGCATTGCAGTGCCGTACCGCTCCGCGTAATCATACACGCACACACATGGGTGCCGCGTGCCGCTTCACATGCCTAAGCTCACGCATGCACACGCGCACATGCACACGCGCACATGCACACGCGCACATGCACGAGCTTAGGCATGTGAACCAGCACGCGGCACCCATGTGTGTGCATGTATGTTTACGCGAAGCGGTACGGCAGTGCACCGCATTAATGAACCTGGTCTCCCGAGTTCAATTCCCACTCACGGTCAATAAAAGTGAAAGTAGGTGTAGGCGTGTAAACATCGGCGCTGGGGAGGCAGCGGCGACGGCCTTGATAGGTGCTCGCTAACAGCACTTGCCCCTGCAGTCTACGTGGACCAGATGAGGGGGATCGGAGTCTTTTTTTTTCCATGCGTGTGTGGGCGTGCGAGTGTGCGCATGTGTGTGTACATTTGTCGCTGTTTACACTGCGCATGTAACAGAGCCAAACCATTTGTCCCTGCATTTTTTTCGCTCATTCTGTTAGCGTTTAGAGCTTTTTTTTTTCTATCCCCAGATTTTAGTTTTTTTCGAATGCGAGCCTCCAGTTTCCTTTTCCCAGCGTCGCATCTGCCGGCATCTCTCGCTTTCACGTGCCTCGCTAATTGGCCGAGTTAGCCGACTCACACCAGACTAAATTAACAACCGTCGCTGAAGGGGGTAAAAAAATTGTTGACGCCACCATTCCATCTATGGCATTAATACGTGTAAAAACTTTTTGGTTATTAAAGATATACCTTCTTTTTTGTATCGACGCCTCGTTAGAGCGGTACACTGCCCGGTAAACATGAGGTCTATTCCCGGCCACGGCTAACATCGGTGGTGGTGAGTGGCATCACGAAACACTCCTGGGGTGACCCCTTCACCAAAGCGCACCGACCCAGCGCGGCGATACGTGATCCAACAACCTCCAGTAACAGACACAAAACGTAGGCAGGGACCAGTAGATTTGTACATTCTTATTATCACAATGTTTTTATCTTTTTTTCTTATGCAAAATAATTGGCAAACGGCACACTGGGAGCGAGATTCCTAATCAACAAAACGAGTGCTCTCGCCTTGTTATGCTTTCAGTCTCCCGTGAGATCTCGAAAGAGCGGCTGGGCTGACCGGGAAAAAGTGGGGAGAGTTGGGGGGGGCGGCGGGGCATGGGTGGGGTTCTGGGGGGCAGGGAGTAGGGGCGGCGGTGGTGGTGCTGGTAGGGGACAGTGGAGTGGCAGAGAGATGGGAGTCGAGAGAATGGGAGCCTGCTGAGAGCGAGCAGGGGGCGTGCGGGGGGGGCTGCTGCGGTGGGAGGTGGTCAGGGATCGGGAGTGGAATTGAATGGAGCCGTGCCAGGAATCCACATCTGGAACGCAGATGGCGGCGCAGGCCCCCGCGCCTGTTTTTGGAAGTGACCTAAATATTTTGGCGCTAAGCCCACTCCTCCCCCCCACCCCCTGCCCCCCGCCCCCCCTCTGCGCTAAAAGGCCACGGCACTCCAGTACGCGACGCCCTGCCGTGCGACCTGTCGCCGGGACCGCACCTGTGGGGGTCACCGCAACCGGAACAGCGCGCGCGCTCGAAGAGTCGGTGCGCCGCGCCGGTGACGTCCGCGGTGGTGACGTCCGCGCTGGTGACGCGCACTCCGACGACGGCGGCTGTCCCACTGACCCGTTGGAGTAAATCTCGCCCACTCTGCCCCCTCCCTCCCTCCCTCGGCCACCCCGCCCCAGTGCCCCTTCCATTTAGCATCGATGTTTGTCAGCTGTTGACTCATCGAGTGGGAGAGAGGCGTTTTGTTTGGGCCCTGTCTGGAGTTGTGTCCGGCCCCTTCCACGGCCACCCGTCAATGGAATTTCCCCGAGCGGGCCACCGGCGCACAGAGAATTATGGCAAGGGGGTGACGGAGTTGCTCGCGGTGGTAATGTCTTGTGCAAAAACTAAAATTTTTTATTATCAATTCGAACGCGGCGGCAAGAGAGCGCCGTCCGTTGCCAAAGCAGCCGCTCGGTGAGAATAAATGCCGAGCGTTCACCTGGCGGTGGGCCGCAAAGTGCTGTGTCGCGAAAAATAAATGCCCAGGAAATGTGCCAGAGGCACAACAACCGCGGAGTCGCTCATCGTAACAACCGAAGCGTTGCCATTAGAGAATGAAAGTTCAAAAGGGGGGGGACTTGCCGAGGCCATAATTTGCGTGCGGGTGTGCGCGTCCACCCACCCGCCCATCCGTCATGCATATGTGGCCGTGACCCAGCGGCGGGTGGCAGCCAACTACTTAAAGAGGAATTGTCTACAATATTTGCGTGGTTCTTTTGTTTTGCGTGCGTGTACGTATGTATGTTGAACTTCTTTCGCGCCGTACGTAGCCAAACCCTGATATAATCGGAGGTGCTCCGAAAGTTTGTGCAGGTTTTGAAGGGTCCTTTTCTTTTTCGTGGGTGCGACTGTGGACAACAGCCGTATCAGACACGACATCTAATGGGCATAATCATTGGGTCACTGCAGCTCGAAGACTTGGTCCAACAAGGCGTGCAGGACCGATATAAGAGTTTCAGATTCACCCCAGCTCCCACCCCACCCGTGTCCGCCATCTCCCAGCCCCTCCCAAAAAAAGTATCCTGTTATGGGATATTAAAAGAAAAATGTAACTCGGCCTTGAAAAGTTTCGAGCTGGAAACGTTGACTGTTGCTAAATTAGAATATAATACCAAATAGCTTGATTTACACCAATCGGGGATAGACCCCGACAAGATTTCAGTCAGAAAGCATCGGTATTTTTTTACATCTGCATGTCTTGCAAGGACATCCGTCAATTCAACCGCTGCACACAAGTTCCATTCTGGTCGCTCGATAAAGTTGTTGTTGTTATTGTTTGCGTACCGTTCAAATTGGCCGTGACGTGAACACCCGGCGGAAAAGCAGCAGGGCTTCATTTCACAGCCGGGTGTATCCGGATCAGCATCCCGAAATTATTTCCACGGGCCAACACACGACATCCAGCACACCTCCCCGCTGTGGCTGCGGTGACTACGGCGAATCACATGCACCGCCTACCCCGTCTACCAAGGGATGCCGGGAAAAAAAAACACATCCAGCGAAGAAATGTTTGCCTTGGAAAGTGGGTAAAGTGGGTAAAGTGGGTACAGTGGGTAAAGTAAGCAAAGCCCACGAGGCCCAGATGCTCCAGTCCCACACGTACTCACGCGCACACACACACACGCACACACGCACACACACACACGCACGTGTGCACGCTCCATCCCGCCGCTACATCAGCGCGCGCGCTTTCACTCGCGGTCGCAGGCAGCAGCAGCTGGGTGAGCTGGCGGGGCGGTGCGGAGCGGTGGGAGGACGTAGGGGTGGGGGTGGTGTGGCGGGGAGGCACCTGCGAGATGTAGCCCGGAGGGACGTGGATGGGAGGGATGGAGCCATTGGTGGACATCATGGGAACGTGGGCGGGACCTGCTCTCACAGACACACACACACACACGCACGCGCCGACAGACACACGCGGACACGCGGCTGTGTTAGATGCGTTTCTTTTCTTCTCTCGAGAATCCAGGGTCGACAAATGAAATCCGTCGCGCAGTCGTGACGGGGATAGCGGCGCGAGGGTCGGCAGAACTGGAACGGAGCCGTCGCCGAGAATTCAGCCCGAGGAGGGAACTCGAACGGAACGGCAACGATACGGAGAGGAGTTGATCTGCGCCGTGTCGCACGCGACGTGTCCAGTGACAACGGCGTCTTCATGAATTAAATACGTACGGCCCTACCTACACAGGGCATATACCGCATCAAGTCATGGGAGTTGCCTTGACCATACGTCACCAAGCTGGTCGGGGTAAGGGGTGGGAGAGGAAGAGGCCTAGGATCAGTTCAGATGTTACTCGCCAACTGGTATTAGCCATGGCCGGGAATCGAACTCAGGTCGCCGGTCGGTGGTTCGTGGTTGGGAGGTGTAGGGCGGGGGGGGCTGGGAAATATTCCATGAGAAATTAAGCCCTGGGACTAACTTAATTATCACGGAACTAATTAAATATCACCGCACCGCCCACCGCCACTGTCACGGCATCAGCCTGGGTAACTGCGACAAACATTAATTCACGGAGAGTGATGAACACACAGCGGGTACGCCCGCGATATCGTTCCATGGGGAACGGTTTTTAAATACCCTATTCACCACCGTTATTGGACTCGGGCGGGAATCGAACCCGGGTTCGTGGTGCGAAGCGCTGACCGCTGCACCGCCCATCACAGACGACGACAGACACGGACTCGCACACGAAGACGGAGGGGGGGGGGAGAACACGTGTTCCGGATTTGGCAAAAATACAAACAACACAAACAAATGACATCATTCCCTGGGGGGGCAAGGGGAAGCATCACGGATGCATCTTCGCCAATGCATCACCGGGGTGAGCCGACAACGGCCGGGCGTGGTGTTGGCCACACCACCCCCCCCGGCCCCACCGCCATGCGCAGTTCCAGCCTTCATAGGTGCCCACTAACAGCAGCTGTGTCAACAGCCGCTGTTAAAGGCTATACGGGGGATCTTTGTCATTGTGTGAATGTGCATCTGGGGGCTCACTGTTCTCCACCGACGTGGGCGATTTCCACTGGCCACATGTGCCACGCCGGCCCCATCCCCATGCAGTGGAATAGCCTCCTTGTCATTATTGATGATGCGGGGTGTGTGGGGGGTTCACGGACGAGACCAATGCTGGCTGCACAGCGTTTTCCACACGTTGAAGAGACGCCGACTCAACGAGTGTAAACTTTCTCGTGCGTGTATCCCTACGAGGGTGGGAATAATTATACTCGAGCGAGAGTGTGTGCGTGTGTGTGTATCTACGGTGGTGTAGCGGTTAGCGCTACCAACCCCGGCGCCCCGGGTTCGATTCCCGCTCACGGCCGACACCAGTGACGATTATCTGAACGGGTCCTGGGCATCACCTAGGTCGACTCAGCCTCAAATTAATACCTAGTGCAGTGTGTCAAATATCAGCACTGGGGAGACAAAGGTGGCCGGGGATGGTGCTGGCCATCCACCCCCTCGTGTGATGTGCCGGCCTTCATAGGTGCTCGCTAACAGCACTTGCCTCCAACAGTGTGTTTTGGCCATACAAGGGATCTTGTATATGCCTCTACGAGTGTGTATATCTAAAAAAAAAGTGTGTGCATATTTCTTTGAGAGTGTATCTCTAAGTGTGTGTGTGTGTGTGTATTGGTTAGCACAGTATGGGGTACAGCTGGTGCATCTGCCAGTCATCTCAGTCAGTCAACACCATGGCACCTGGGTCTGTCCCGTGACCTCCTGTCAGCGAGCCGTCGACACTTCACGTGGCCTCAAAGTGCACCTGGCCTGGCACAGGCGCCGTGGTGACGTCACCGTCACTTAGTGGTGAATGGTGGGTATTAATGTGTGTGTTTATATATCTACGAGTAACTCCGTACAGGCACGTACCATGGCCCACATCGTCTATCTTTGGTCGGTGTGTTTTCCAAGATTCCTTTCTGTTTTAATTTCCTCCGTGTGCTTAAAATTCTAAAGTAGATTCCACACCAGCCTCTACCAAGGCACGCCAAGCACACTGCTCTCTCGCCTTCCTACACAATTGGCAACCATCTCTCAGTACGACGCCGACAAAGAAAAAACACAAACCACAGCTGGCATCGCAACAACCGAGACGAGATGCAACACGAGCCGTTCAGAGTTGCTCGAGGCATCTAAGCAAGTTGTCCTGTAAATGAGAAATCGTTCTCCGAGCAAACCCTACGCCCGCGAAACTCGCCTCGCATCTCCAGCCACGGAGCACGCGTCCGTGCTCATATGGCAACATATGGTAACCATCATCATCATCATCGTCGTCGTCATGAGCACATGCTAACTTCCTGCCTTGGCTGCAGGGGGGCCTGGCATTGCGATGACCCAGCCGCTGTGGCACGTGCCTGCGCGAACAACACCCCGTGACCGATTAGCGGTAACGCACGAACGCATGCGATCACAGCGGGAAGGGCTTCACCGTCTCTGTGTGCATGCACGGCGAGGTCGCTGTCACTCCACTGCTGGATGAGAGGCACACCCGTTGCCATGCGGATAAAAAAAAATGTGTTTAATTTAACTCCACCAATGACCGGCATGATGAAGTACGGTCAGGTAAGCCCCCACGGACCTGTTAGTGATGGGGGAGGTCTTCCGCCAGCAGTGGAGTGACAAGCACGTACTTGCCGTGCATCCCAGGCGCAACGGTGCAGGGATTCACTGACATTGATTGTTCGTGAGGTGCGTTGAAATGGTGTGTAACAATCAATGCGTTTGTTCCGGAAACTGTTGCGCGTGATGGGTTCGCGTGGACACTCAAGTGACGAGAGGCCGCCACGACCACCACGAATGAAAAACAAACGAGCATCAATTCTTGAACCGAGTCACAGTCACGACGATCGAACTGCGAGGGGGGCAATCATTATCCCCCTACGAGTGTCGTCAACAACCCGTCCAAGGCGCTCACCCACCTATCCAGTCCCTTCGCCACCCACCCATCTACTCAACTACCCCCCCCCCCCACTCACTCGTCCATTTACCACCTCACACATCAACCCACCGATTTAAGAGCCACCCACACAGCGACAAAAGCATCCACCGACCCATCCCCCCTACCTACCCATCCCACTCATATCATCACCCACAAATCCACCCACTCATCTACTCACCCATAAATCCCGCCCCCCACCCACCCACGCACCTTTATTTATTCCACGCACACCCATGCGTCCGCCCGTTAGTATGTCCAGGCTTACACAGCAGAGTCTTTATACGAAGCAGTGCTCTGGCTTTGACCTGTAACCCCTCCCGTCCGCCAGACGGAGGCGGCTGGGACTGTGCCAGAGATTCTGCCCCCCCCCCCCACCTCACCCCCGTGTGTCCCTTGGGATCTCTCCCTCTCGTCCTGGGGCACCCGGTCTGGTCAGGGGGCCACGGGACCTCGGGGGCCCCCACCGTGACAGGTGTCCCACAGCGCTGGGACTACTTACGGGGCCCCTGAGAGCCGTTTGAGGAGGGCACGAGCGGTCCACGGAGAGTTGGGAGGGAGGTGGGGTCGGGGGAGAGAAGCCCCCTCCCCTGTTAAAATGTTTTGTCTTGCGCCCTTATTTTCCATCTCTGTGGGGGCCTCGAAAGCAGCGCAGGAGTGCCGCCACTCGCCAGGACAATCCCCCACCCCGTGAATGTGCGATCAACGCGCGCGGTCAATTTTAACAAAAAGCCGCCGTTCGCCACTAGGTTGCGGTGACGTGTCACCATGGCCGCGTGCGCCAGGCTAGGTGCGCATTAGCAAACGCTACCCCCCCCCTCTCTCTCGCACTCAGAGGGACCGCCGCCCACGCTGCCCGCAGTATAACGAGGCATTGCTAAAAATAAACATTCCTCCTCCTCCGCTAGGCAAGCTCCTAAATCGGCGCGACACTGGCCGATGACGGGTGACCAACGAGCACTCTGTGCTCGCTCCGCGGCGGCGCTTTAAACTTCGCCGCCGCCACCGTATCCCCATTAACCGTGGTGGATTTAAATAAAAAACCCCGTATTAAAACGGGCGCACCCCGACAGAACCAATAATAATGCCGCTAATTTTCCAGTCGCACATTTCTGGTTATAGAGGGGCTATAGAGGTGGCAGTGTGGTCCGCCGACACACAGGCCCCAGTGTGACTGCACAGAAGCCGACTCAACGCCCCCCCCCCCCCCCCACGGCATTCCTCGGATGCCTCTCCCAGGAAGACTTGAGTCAATATGCCAGCCGGCACGCCCGCCACCAGTGAATGGATTTTTTTTTTATCGCAGAAACTCAAGACTGGCCCTTGCCGCTCGCTGGCACAGCGAACCCCAGGCCCAGCGGCCTTTCCATTAACGGATCCCGTTTCGAGACAATTAACGGGGGGGCCGCCCGCTGTGACACAGAAAGCGCATTGACGTCTCGGCAAGGCTCGAGAGAAGGAGAAAGGCCCGATGCTCCGCGCAGAGAGAAACGAAACGATCTGTCAAAATTTAGGTGAGGTTGAGTTTCACGAAGCGATGAATGTTGAACAATGTCCGTGACTGCCTTTAGTTGGGGGGGGGGGGGAGGGGAGTTTATCCACCTTCTTCACGGACCCAAATCCGTATGTGTTTCTCGGTCAGCTTAGGCCCATATTGTGAAGTTCAATGCCACACCGCAACCAGATCACGGCGCAACTCAATTCCCTGCCACCCGAGCACAGACACCAATTCCTGGACTGTCCGGGCTGCACCCTGGCGGGGAAGGGTGTGTGTGTAATTGATAGGGGTCGGGGGTCACGGAGGCTGAGAGCAGCGGGTTTCAGGGGCCACGAGCAGCTCTGCCGCAATTATTTCTAAGAGGGCCCCCACCTACGGCACGCGGCACACGTGTGCAACCATTAGGCGTGCGTCACGGCAGGCCGGCAGCAGCA